GAGAGAGATGATAGTGGTCATCCTTGTCTTGTTCCTGATTTTAACGTGAAGGTTTTCAGTTTTTGGCCATTTAATATGATGTTGGCTGTTGGTTTTTCATAGATAGCCTTTATTAAGTTGAGACATTATCCATCTACCAATTTTTTTTTTCCTATCTTTATTGCTTTAATTTCTTTCTCTTGTCTAATTGCTGTGGCTAATATTCCCAGAACTTTATCTAAGAGGAGTGATGATAGTGGTCATCCTTGTCTTGTTCCTGATTTTAACGTGAAGGTTTTCAGTTTTTGGCCATTTAATATGATGTTGGCTGTTGGTTTTTCATAGATAGCCTTTATTAAGTTGAGACATTATCCATCTATTCCAATTTTTTGCAGAGTTTTTATCATGAATGGGTACTGAATTTTGTCAAATGCTTTTTCTGCATCTATCGAGAGGGTCATGTGGTTCTTGTCCTTGACTTTGTTAATATAGTGCATTACATTAATTGATTTACGTATGTTGAACCATCCTTGCATCCCTGGAATAAATCCAACTTGGTCAGGATGAATGATCTTCTTGATGATCCTCTGTATTCTGTTTGCTAGTATCTTATTGAGGATTTTTGCATCTATATTCATTAAGGAGATTGGCCTGTAGTTCTCTTTTTTTTTGTTACATCTTTCCCAGGTTTGGGAATCAAAGTGATACTTGCTTCCAGGAATGAATTTGGAAGTATTGCTTCTCTTTCAATTTCGTTGAAAAGTCTGAAGAGTAATGGCAATAGATCTTCTCTAAATGTCTTATAAAATTCAGCAGTGAATCTAGGACCTGGGCTTTTCTTTGTTGGTAAGTTTTTAATTACATTTTCAATTTCACTGATTGTGATAAAATGTTTTTATCTTCTTCGTTCAACTTTGGTAATTCATAAGTATCTAGAAATCTGTCCATTTCTTCTGTGTTTTCCATTTTATTAGAGTACAGGTTCTCATAGTATGTACTGATGATCCTCTGGATTTCTGTGGGATCTGTTGTGACTTTGCCTTTTCATCCCTGATTGCATGGATCTGAGCCTTTTCTTTCCTTTTTTTGATAAAGCTTGCTAAGGGTTTATCAATTTTATTTAGTCTTTCAAAAAACCAACTCTTCTATTCATTTATTTTTTGTATCGTTTTCTTAGTTTCCATTGCATTGATTTCTGCTCTAATCTTTATAATTTCCTCTCTTGTTCGAGTTTTGGGTTTTTCTTGCTCTTGTTTTTCTAGGAGTCTAAGAGTCATCGTTAGGTTGTTTATTTGAGCTTGCTCTGTTTTCCTAATGTGGACATTCAGTGCTATGAAT